CTCCGTAAGCCATGCGTGTTGTAAGAGGCGACTAAAATGCCGGGAGCAAGGGGGCTAGTAACCCCTTCTCCTGTATATACAGTGGACCCCCGCCTTATGATATTAATTCGTTCCTGAGAGTTCATCGTAAGCCGAAATTATCATAAGGTGAATTAATTTTCCCCATAAGAAATACATGTAATGGAAATCAAATTAATCCATGCAAGACACCCCAAAGTATGAAAAAAAATTTTTTTTACCACATGAAATATTAATTTTAATACACACAAACTGAAGAAGACATGCACAATTACTACTCTACTAAAAATAGAATACATGACATGACACTTACCTTTACTGAAGATCTGGTGATGATTGATGGGATGGGAGGAGGAGGGGGAGTGGAACTTATTGTTTAGAAGGGGAATCCCCTTCCATTAGGACTTGAGGTAGCAAGTCCTTTTCCGGGGTTACTTCCCTTCTTTTAATGCCACTAGGACCAGCTTGAGAGTCACTGGACCTCTGTCGCACAACAAACCTGTCCATAGAGCTCTGTACCTCCCATTCCTTTAACCCTTAAACTGTCCACACAGATCGATGTTCACATCCATAGTGCTCCAAAAGTAAATCTACGTTTTTTTTTTTTTTTTACATATTTTGAAATATAGAAAAAAAAAAAAAAAATGTAGATAAAAGGTTTTTTACACGTTTTCAAATGTAAAACAAAAAAGATAATTTTTTTTACATACTTTCAAATGTTGAAAAAACGTAGATCTACGTTTGGACAGTTTAAGGGTTAAGATTTGCCTAAAATGGGCCACAACATTGTCATTGTAATAGTCACCAGCACGGCTTGCAATAACAGTGTTAGGGTGATTTTCATCCATAAAGGTTTGCACTTCAACGCACTTTGCACACATTTCCTTAATCTTTGAAGTAGGCACAATGAATTCCACAACTGGCATAGGCTTCTCAGAGTTAGCCCCAAACCCTTCAAAATCTTTCTTAATTTCCATACTAATTCTCACCCTTTTTACCACAGGGTTGGCACTAGAAGCTTTCTTGGGGCTCATGGTAACTCATTTTGCAGTTACAAGCACAAGAAACACTGGGATAAGGCGAAATGTGCCGAATGTATGCGTGGATGCGACCGCACTGGCTGGCTTGTAAACACTGGTGCCGAGGCCACACGTGGGACGCGTCCCGGACGAATCACGTAATGCGAGTTTTTTAGCGCAAGGCGAGGCAAAATATTTGCGTTAAAATGTATTGTATGGCGGATTTAATGTAACGCGATGCCATCGTAAGGCAGGGGTCCACTGTATTACTAAATGTAAAAGGAGAAACTTCCGTTTTTCCTTTTGGGCCACCCTGCCTCGGTGGGATACGGCCGGTGTGTTGAAAGAAAGAAATGTAATGAAGAGGGGAACATACTTAGGGATTGGCAGAGAGCATGTATAGCTCCTTTATATAAAGGGAAGGGGGACAAAAGAGATTGTAAAAATTATAGGGGCTCTGGTGGCCTGGTGGTTAACGCTCTCGCTTCACACGGTGAGGGCCTGGGTTCGATTCCCAGCCAGAGTAGAAACATTGGACGTGTTTCTTTCCACCTGTTGTCTATGTTCCCCATCAGTAGAATGGGTACCTGGGTGTTAGTCGACTGGTGTGGGTCGCATCCTGGGACACTGACCTAAGGAGGCCTGGTCACAGACCGGGCCGCGGGGGCGTTGACCCCCGGAACTCTCTCCATGTAAACTCCAGGTAATAAGTTTACCGAGTATACCATGAAAAGTGTACGGTAGGGTTATTACTGAAAGAATTAGAGGCAAGACAGAGAGTAGGATTGCGGATGAGCAAAGAAGCTTTAGAGTGGGTAGGGGATGTGTAGATCAAGTGTTTACAGTGAAGCATATATGCGAACAATACAGTGGACCCCGGTTAACGATATTTTTTCATTCCAAAAGTATGTTCAGGTGCCAGTACTGACCGAATTTGTTCCCATAAGGAATATTGTGAAGTAGATTAGTCCATTTCAGACCCCCAAACATACACGTACAAACGCACTTACATAAATACACTTACATAATTGGTCGCATTGGGAGGTGATCATTAAGCGGGGGTCCACTGTATTTAGATAAAGGTAGGACTCATCAACAACAATGTTCTTGAAGGGATAAAAGTAGGCACTGAATTTGTGCTTCACATACATGAACAATTCCCGGATTTTGTATAGGAGGTCATTTCAGTTCGGCGTATTCCTGTCTGCAAAGTGCAACATTCGTAGCATCAGAGTGAATCTGTTGCAGGGAAGGAGGTCATGGAAGACTAGAGTACTGATGAAGTGGTCTGTGGACCAGTAGTTTGCTATATTGTTCTTATACATGTATGTGTGTGGCATAAGCATGAGAGTCCCAAGGAATAAATACATTTCAGCCACAGTTGTATCTTTCCACCTGCGCAGCCGTGATGATTCTGAAACATCTCTGTGGTCCATTGTATACTGGTAGTACATGTTAGTCTGGGTAATAATCAGGTTCGTGATCAGCTCATCAAAGTAGTATAGTTGAAAATAGTCTAACACTGTAGATTCATTTGTAATGGGACAGTGTGGCATGATGCCATTTCCACTGGCATCAAAATTGAAAGGATGTGGTATGAATGGTGTACTTGCTGACCAGTTCCATTCGTGGTCAGATGGTGCAGGGTGGACCTGTGGCATGGGGCATGGGGGAGCAGGAGGGGGGACAGGAGTGGAGGCAGCACATGGTTGAGAGGGTGCCGGGCGATCCTTTGTCTGCCCACCCACCACACCACGAGGTCCAGGTACCATGCCACCTCCCTCTTCCTCCATCCCAGCATACTCTCCTTCATGATCACTATCACTGTCAGTGGCACGGGCTTTGGATTGTGACCTGCCATGACCCATGCCACTGACTACACATGGCACACTGCCTGAACGTAGGTTACGACGCCTAAAAGTACGTTTCACTGGGGAAAATGATAATCACCTTCACTCGACGAATCATCTATAGGCATAAAATCGATTATCATCATCATCATTTATGTCACTTTCACTACGGTCAGCATCGTAACGCTTGGAAAATGATAATTTCCTCTTGTGGAGCTGCCTCTGGGTAGTAACATTAGCAACCCCAGAGGTGCTGGGCTGAGGGTCTGGCATGGCCACACTGACCACCTCAGAGGTCATGGGCTGAGGGTCATCTGGGTTGTCATAAATAGTTTCACTAATTCCCTGATCATTAGTGGCCATATCATTGTCAAATCAACTAAACTCGGGTTCTGTTTCACTGTCCAAGAATAGTAGTGTTAATACAACGAGTGGCCTGATGGCTAAAGCTCCCGCTTCACACACGGAGGGCCCGGGTTCGATTCCCAGCGGGTGGAAACATTTCGACACGTTTCCTTACACCTGTTGTCCTGTTCACCTAGCAGCAAATAGGTACCTGGGTGTTAGTCGACTGGTGTGGGTCGCATCCTGGGGGACAAGATTAAGGACCCCAATGGAAATAAGTTAGACAGTCCTCGATGACGCACTGACTTTCTTGGGTTATCCTGGGTGGCTAACCCTCCGGGGATTAAAAATCCAAACGAAATCTTATCTTATCTTATCTCTTATCAGTGAATCACAAGGGTTTGCCATGATGTTGACCCAAGATGGAGCTGAAACTAACTGGTCCTACCATGCGGTACCCCTGCATCACCAATTTTTTTCATACTGCGCACACCCATTCTCTTATGTCTAGACGACTCGGGCCTATTGTGCCAAATTTGAAGGAATGAAAAATAAAATGTTGATATACATTAAGAACACTGCGCACGTGTACATATGTCTATGTGTGGACAGTTTAAGGGTTAAAGTAGGAAAAGAGAGGTTTCAAGATATGGTTGTAACAGATTAACTGTGACTGTCATTACTGTCAATCCATTTTTTCCAAGAACAAGTTGCTTAAGTTGTGGTGCAATACTGAAAGCTCTCTGATTGTGTTCATTTGGATTTTCAATATTCTGATGGCTTTAGATATCCTCCTTTAATCTCTTCCTCATTAGTTACTAATTTAGCATTGTTCCATACTATGAGGTGTGTTAATTTGTCATGACAGGCGACACATGTGCTGTTGCTGTTACAGGCTCTGTAAGTATTCTTGTATGGATATTATGTTTAACCACATTATATCTGACATCCTGCAGAGGGTAAAAAGCAGCAAAGATATTTTACCCGATTATAAAGACTATCTTTGACCTCAAAATACTCACTACACATAACCTGTGACATCAAAGCTGGCTCAAGAGTTATGAAATATTATGAAAGAGAAACATCATGTGTTGTTTGCATGAAAACTGCAGAACATAAGCATGCCGTAAACGGTCCAAACGTATATATACGTTTTTTCAACATTTGAATGTAAAAAAAGTAGATCTTTTTAGTTTTTTTACATTTGAAAATGTGTAAAAAAAACGTAGATCTACTTTTGTAGCACTACACATGTGAACGTAGATCTGCTTGGACTGTTTACGGGTTAAAGTATCCATAAGACTAGCAATATCTCTGTCACCCAACCTGACAAATTTCACACTTCATGGCATGCAGTAGGTGAGACTTCCCTAGATGTGATTTACCTCACTTGTAAAGGTTTAATAAATGGAGTTATGTTGCTGATTCCCAAAATCCCCCTAGGGGTTGGAAAAAAAAAATATGATCATATCTTCATTTCTTGTTAAATTTCCATAGACAACTTTATTAGCACATTTCTTGTAGTGTATGCTATACCTACAAATATGTTTTACTGAACCATATGCCTCTCCTTATACTGTACTGTTCATTATTTTGGTGTGGCCTAACGTTAAATACTCTTGGTGGTCTAAATTACGTACATGGACCCTTACCCAACCTCCATTAATTTTTTTACTAAATATTATTAGGCACATCAAAAATGCACTGTTACTTGTTGTAAGAGATTTTGAGAGACATTACAAGATTTAATATAACAATGATGACTTACCTATATAATAAATAGAGCCATTGGTACACCCAAGTAAGAGGAAGGAACCAGCAGTATCAAAAGATGCAATGGGCAGCACTTCTTGGATCTGCCAGTGCTGTGTCATAGCATGCCAAACACCAATCTTCCCAACTGAGGAAAGTGCCACTAACTGTGACCCGATAAAAAAGAGATACTCTACTGGCACACCGAGGTTGAAAGTCCCTGTAAAACAGAATTAGGTATTAAACTTCACAGGAAAGAGAAACAAAACATTTTGTACAACTTCAAGACCATGAGGTTGGGAGGTGCCACACTGGTTGATCAGTAACAAAGAGGCAGAACCCAAGAGAAAAATATGAAGAAAAAAAAATATCATCATTGAGAAAGGTCACCAGTAGTATCTCATCATGAAGAATATCTCATGTAAGGAATGCCTCCTGGTTAGATAATCACCTTATTTTCACAGATTTTTGATCTGTAAGCAGAATTCATCAGAAGGCCATAATCCCTTTACAATGTGCTGATGAAGGAAATAAGGGGTATTTTTCTTCAGAGGGTGTGTCAGGAGAAGTTTGAGATTAAACAGGCTTGGAGGGAGAGAAGAGGACAAGGTGTATTAGTGAGATGACTATGGAGACATTTGGCGAGGCTAACCATAGTGGTGAAAGGAAGATAGATAGATAGATAGATATAGAGAGAGATATAGAGAGAGAGATATAGAGAGATATAGAGAGAGAGATATAGAGAGATATATAGATAGAGAGAGAGAGATAGTATGAGAGAGAGATAGTATAGAGAGTAGATAATATGAGAGAGTAGATAGATATAGAGAGAGTAGATATAGAGAGAGATAGATATAGAGAGAGTAGAATAGAGAGAGATGATATAGAGAGAATAGATATAGAGAGATAATATAGAAGAGATAGATATAGAGGAGATAGATATAGAGAGATAGATATAGAGAGAGATAGATATAGAGAGAGATAGATATAGAGAGAGATAGATATAGAGAGAGATAGATATAAGAGAGAGATAGATATAGAGAGAGATAGATATAGAGAGAGATAGATATAGAGAGAGATAGATAGATATATATAGAGAGAGATAGATATAGAGAGATAGATAGATATAGAGAGATAGATATAGAGAGAGATAGATAGATATAGAGAGATAGATAGATATAGAGAGATAGATATAGAGAGATAGATAGATATAGAGAGAGAGAGATAGATATAGAGATAGATAGATAGAGAGAGAGAGAGAAGAGAGAGAGAGAGAGAGAGAGAGAGAGAGAGAGAGAGATACCAGGTGTAATTACTGCCACAAGAAAGGACATAAGGAGGAGTGTCGGAAGAAAAAGGAACTTGATAAGACAGTACCACCTGTTTAGAGACCTGTTTTCGGAACAAACTGGCAGGATCTCTGAATTGGTGAACACACTCACATGTCACCCACTCAGCTACTCCTATCTCAGCCCAGCAGGTGGTATTGTGTCTTATACAAGACCAGACCTACATCCCTGCAGCTGCTTCAGTGCCCTACTTCTCTCGAGGACAGGCACCTTACATGCCTTACACACCAACCACCTCAAGCTGACCACATCATGAGGAGCCAGTCTATCAGCATCCTGTCAGCCAACATTAGAGGTTTCATTACTAATGTTGGAGAACTCGCACACAGTTTTGTGAACACTCGATGTCCCGACATGATAGCTGTTGTTGAAACATTTTTGGACGACAGGACTCCAGAAAATTTTGCAAGAATTGCTGGCTACACCTCATGGATGAGAAGAGACAGGCAAGGGTAAGGAGGAGGTGTTGCTGTGTGCTTCTCTAAAAGTGTTCATGCCCAGCACATTGATGTTGCCACCCCTACTCATCTTGAAATGATGTTCTTCAAGCTATGCATAAACACTAGTACCTCTGTACTAGCATGTGCAATGTACAGACCTCAGTGGCAACTTGCAGACCTCATCAACTCCCTAATGGAAAATGTGGACTCCCTTCTGCTACAACACAACTGTCAACATATAATTGTTGGTGACCTCAACCAAAAACACTCTTATTTTACAGAGGAACTTTGATGACCTTCATTCGTCTTTGACATGGAGAAAGGTTTGTTGAATTCGCTACTTACATCTCTGGCTCCTCCCTTGAAACCCAACAGTAAGGAGTAAATCACGACACAACGGTATAGGTAATTTGGGCCAACCCTTGCTTTTCTCGGATGCATCTTGACCCAGCTGTGTTGACCTAACTTGTGCTCACCAGAACGGTAGCGGTTCCTCCCAACAAGGACCTGGCTATGGCAAAGAGGTAAATTGGCCATGCCCTTGGCTCTGAGGCTCCAGGTCTCTTCTTCTATGTTTATGTTGACAAACAAGTGAAAGCCTTCACCGGACACATCCTTAATCTACAACAAGAATGCATCCCTCACCGGCAATATGTGACGAAGCCTATAGATCAGCCTTGGTTTGGCTTTCATTGTAGAGAGGCTGCTACTGCTAAGTACAAGGCATGGCAAAGGTATAAGAGACATCCTACCACCTTATAACAGGAACTTGCACAGGCAAGCCTGTAGGCATATGAGTGATGTTCAAAAGTGGACCATTGCTAAATGGGAGATGGACACAAAAAGGAAGCTAGCATCAGGTAGAGTAGGCTCCAAAACCTGGTGGTCCCTGGTCAAGGACAGACAAAGTTATCTGCCTGATGAACTCATTCCACCTCTAAATCAACAGGATGGGACCACCTCTACTAGTAGTGAAGAGAAAGCGGACCTCTTTGCCAAACACTTTGCTACCAAAATGCAAGTTCCTGATCCAGCAAGGGACCCTCCTTGGCTAGCTGCAAGAACTGTCAAAATTGTCAGTGGTGACAATAAGGCAGGAGAAGGTGCATTTCCTTAATTGCTTGACCAAGAAAAGGCTGTGGGCCCAGACAAGTTGAGCCCTAGATTGCTGAGATGATGTGCAGACCAGCTAGCAGCACCTCTAACTCACATCTTTTAGCACTGCCTAGTACAGTGTAAATGGCCTTCTCTGTGGAAAGAGGCAAGTGTAGTCCCTGTTCACAAAAAGAAGAGCAGAGCAGAAATCAGCAATTACAGACCAGTGTCACTGCTGTCAATCACTAGCAAGATCCTTGAGACAATCTCAAGACAGAGTTCTTTGACTACCACTCACTACTTTGTGATCGTCAATATGGCTTCAGGAAAGGTTACTCTGCTGCTGATCTGTTGTTAAACCTCTCCACTAAGTGGCACCAGTCACTGGATGAATCGAAAGTCAGCTGTGTGGTAGCACTGGACATTGCTGGTGCTTTCGACCGGGTGTGGCACCAGGGCCTCTTAACAAAACTGCAGGCTCTATGCTATGTCTCCTCAGTGACTACCTTCATGGTAGATCTCTAAGGGTAATTCTCAATGGAATGGAAACAGCAAGACATCCTATTGGGGCAAGTGTTCCACAAGGAAGTGTGCTGGGACCATTGTTATGGAATGTCTACTTCAATGACCTCCTTCATCTCATCCCAGAATCCCATGCATATGCCAACAACTGTACACTGACATTCACTTATCCAAGAGAAGAAATGCCAGCTGCTCTAAGCTACATCAATCACCAGCTAAGAGCTATATCAGCTTGGGGAAATAGATGGCAAGTAACATTTGCACCTGAGAAAACACAAATGATGATGGTCTCTAGGCACCATGATGGTAATGCCGGTGCAGTAGTAAGGATGAATGGGAGGGAGTTGGCACCTGGGGAAGAAGTTGATATCCTTGGGGTGAAATTTGACTCCAAACTGACCATGAAGAACCACGTTGTAAATCTTGCAAACAAAGGCAGCCAGGAAGCTTACAGCACTTCGCCGTATCTCGCATCTGCTTGACAGTAGGGGTTGCAAGATTCTGTACGAGGCACAAGTATCCTCACACCTTGAGTATGCTCCACTTTCTTGGTTTGCTTGCCCCCATCCCTTTCTCATCTGTGACTGCTTGACAGAGTAGAGAACAGAGCAAGAAGTCTCATCTCTCGCCTGGACCAATCCTGGATAGATCTGCCATTTCAGCAGAGCCTTCAACACAGGAGGGATGTGGGTGGCCTTACTGTTATGTACATGGCCAATATTGTCAAAGTACCACACTTGGATCCACTTTGAGGACAGCATGAAGCAAGCTTCTATACCACAAGATGGGCAGAAAGCAGCAACTTCATCCGAGATCGTGATGAATGGTTTGAAAAACCGACAAGTTGAAAATTGAGACACTTATGCAACATATGGGAATCTTTATTCAGGAAACGTTTTGCCACACAGTGGCTTCTCAGTCCAATACAAAGCAGGTGTAAGGAGAGGAGGAGTTTGAAGTAATCAGTCCCTCAGCCTGGAGTCGATGTGTTCAGTCCACATTCTACAAGTTTGATGGACTGAACACATCGACTCCAGGCTGAGGGACTGATTACCTCAAACTACTCCTCTCCTTACACCTTCTGCTTTGTATTGGACTGATGAAGCCACTGTGTGGCGAAATGTTTCCTGAATAAAGATTCCCATATGTTGCATAAGTGTCTCAATCTTCATCCGAGATCATTGATCACCAGGATGACTCGAGTCTGGAACACATTCGTACAGCATTATGATGTCAATGAAATAAAGTCAGTTGATCAGATGAAAATGCTTGCCCACAGATACACCTACCATCCAACTTACGACCTGCTCAACACATGACCATTCGACTTATGACCGTGTTTTGTATGCCAAATTTCTAGGAAATAAACAACTGTTTGTGTTGTACACAGTGTTTATCCTAAACCTTACGGTATAAAATACAGTACTAACAGCATAAAAAGTAAAGTAAAAAATGAAATACCAAAATAAAACAAAATAAATAAAGTCATTACAAAAATGTGATGTTGATATTCAGTAGTAAAGTTCGACTTACGTCCATTTCAACTTACGACCAGTTGGTCGGAACCAAACTCAGTTGTAAGTTGGATGGTACCTGTGGCTCCAACTTCATCCTGTTCCCTATCTGTATGTCTCATGACAATAAAAATGCTTTCAAATGAGCTGATGTAGGTAACAGCTCTTAGCTTGTCAATAAAGTTAGGAATCCTTAACCTGTAAAATAGCTTGTCAATAAAGCTAGAGATCCTTAACCTAACCATGTCAAACCCTGTGTTGAAAAAAAAAAAAAAAAAGAGAGAGAAGAGAGAGAGAGAGAAGGGGGGGGGGCAGTTCAAGATACTTTTGTTCAGAAATTGAGAGAGGTGGGCCCTTAATAAACAGTTTAAATTGTGGGTTCACTATTTAACCAGTGTTGATTGCTTCTTTCTCCCTCTAAAAGTTCATGAATATAACTTCTTGTGACATAACATTGTTCTAGTAATAAAACACTGGACAGAGAGTGCGCTCCATGAATAACAAATGATTAAAGATTATTACTTGCAGTTTATATACATGAATTAACAGTGAGAAGTCCTTATGAACAAAAAAATTGTAATTTATTAAATGTAGAAAAAGAAGACTGACTAACCAACATCATTCCTAGTGCCTTCCTCAGAGATTCCCCAAAGTCTGATATGTGATGCATAAGATATGGCTAACATCTTTTGTCCCGCCTCTCCACCCTGACTTGGAGGGGAGAGTTTGGCATTCAGGGCTGCCCGTTCAATCAGTTGATCAATATATGGTGAGGTGAAGGCCAGCTGCCAACCAGTGCTGTCTTTATTCCTGAAGATCAAGAAAAGATTAAATATCAGAATATTATTTTTAACACACCAGTCATCTCCCACCAAGGCAGGGTGACCCCAAAAAGAAAAAAGTTTTTTCCTTTTATATTTAGTAATTTATGCAGGCGAAGGAGTTACTGGCTCTTTCCTCCCAGCATTCTAGTCACCACATGGTAGAATATACTTTATTAACACAAAACTTAAATTTTTCAATTTATTTACAAAGGAAAACCAAGATCAGAAAAGTTTTTTTTTTGTTTTAAATCAGTATGATTTAAAGTATTATATTTATAGAGGCAAGGATAAATACATTATCTATGATAAAGCTGAATACAGCACAGGTAATTAATGCACTCGGAAAATGTGGTTTTTACTGTTACAAGGATTATTTTTTTAACATAGGTTTTCTAAAAGTAAGCAGAGGAGAAGAGAAGGTAAAAAAGGGGGCTGGGCATCTGATAGTGTGTGAATTAGAAGCTACTGTTTGGTGAATTACGGTAGATGGTATGTAAATACCAACAAGCTGTAGTTGATAAAGGCACACAAGCAGTAACTGAAAAACTTTAAAATATTTTGCCTGTACATCAGGGTTTTTCTAGTCTGGCAGATTGTACCTGCTGGTGGCACAATGTATAGGCAGAAAACAGGAACAAAGTCAGGTGTGAATACTGCAGATAGCCTACTGATCCACATTGAGCAAATCCAGACGTATAAGGAGGAGGAGGAGGAGGAGGAGGAGGAGGGGGGATGAGGAGGAGGAGGAGGGAGGAGGAGGAGGTGGTGGTGGAGGTGGTGGTGGTGGAGGTGGTGGTGGAGGTGGTGGTGGTGGTGGTGGAGGTGGTGGTGGAGGTGGTGGTGGTGGAGGTGGTGGAGGTAGTGGTGGTGGTGGAGGTGGTGGTGGTGGTGGAGGTGGTGGTGGTGGAGGTGGTGGTGGTGGAGGTAGTGGTGGTGGTGGTGGAGGAGGAGGTGGTGGTGGAGGTGGTGGTGGAGGTGGTGGTGGTGGTGGAGGTGGTGGTGGTGGAGGTGGTGGTGGTGGTGGAGGTGGTGGTGGTGGTGGTGGTGGTGGTGGTGGTGGTGGTGGAGGTGGTGGTGGTGGAGGTGGTGGTGGTGGAGGTGGTGGAGGTGGTGGTGGTGGAGGTGGAGGTGATGGTGGTGGAGGTGGAGGTGATGGTGGTGGAGGTGGTGGTGGAGGTGATGGTGGTGGAGGTGGAGGTGGAGGAGGTGGTGGAGGTGGAGGTGGAGGTGGTGGTGGAGGTGGTGGAGGTGGTGGTGGAGGTGGTGGTGGAGGTGGTGGTGTGGTGGTGGTGGTGGTGGTGGTGGAGGTGGTGGTGGAGGTGGTGGTGGAGGTGGAGGTGGAGGAGGTGGTGGAGGTGGAGGTGGAGGTGGTGGTGGAGGTGGTGGAGGTGGTGGTGGAGGTGGTGGTGGAGGTGGTGGTGGAGGTGGTGGTGGAGGTGGTGGTGGAGGTGGTGGTGGAGGTGGTGGTGGTGGTGGTGGTGGTGGTGGTGGTGGTGTGGTGGTGGTGGTGGTGGTGGTGGTGGTGTGGTGTGGTGTGGTGGTGGTGGAGGTGGTGGTGGAGGGCGGGGTGAGCACCCCAGCATAATGTTGTGACGAAAATCAAAGGCCTACCATACAGGGGGGGGGTCTTTTTTCGTCAGTGCATTCTGCTGGGTAGCAGCCATTAGGAAGATGTCTCAGCCTGCTGCCACACTTCACAGTGACTTCTCATTGCTCACATGGCTGCCGTAGTGAGACGGGTAGACGTCTACTCGTCCTCATCCCAACATGGCATTCTTCAGGTCACCATGCGTCACTCACACCTCACTCTCCACCTATATATACAGTGGACCCCCAGTATACGATACTAATCCGTTCCCGAGAACTCATCGTATGCCAAAATTATCGGAAGGCAAATTAATTTTCCCCATAAGAAATAATGGAAATCAAATTAATCCGTGCGAACACCCAAAAGTACTATGAAAAATAAGTTTTACCACATGAAATATTAAGTTTAATGCACACAAACTGAAGAAGACATGCACAGTTAGTAGTACTCTACTAACAATAGAATACATGACACTTACCTTTAATGAAGATCTGGTGATGATTGATGGGATGGGAGGAGGGGAGAGTGTCGAACTTATTGTTTAGAAGGGGTATCCCCTTCCATTAGGACTTGAGGTAGCAAGTCCTTTTCTGGGGTTACTTCTCTTCTTTTAATGCCACTAGGACCAGCTTGAGAGTCACTGGACCTCTGTCGCACAACAAATCTGTCCATAGAGCTCTGTATCTCCCATTCCTTTACGATTTGTCTAAAATGGGCCACAACATTGTCATTGTAATAGTCAACACGGCTTGCAATAGCTGTGTTAGGGTGATTTTCATCCATAAAGGTTTGCAGTTCAACCCACTTTGCACACATTTTCTTAATTTTTGAAGTAGGCACAATGGATTCCACAACTGGCATAAGCTTCTCAGGGTTAGCCCCAAACACTTCAAAATCTTTCTTAATTTCCATACTAATTCTCACCCTTTTTACCACAGGGTTGGCACTAGAAGCTCTCTTGGGGCCCATGGTGACTTATTTTGCAGAAACAAGCACCAAAAACACTGTGATAATATGAAATGTACCGAATGTATGCTTAGATGCGAGCACACTGGCTGGCTTGCAAACACTGGCACTCACGTGGACGAATCGCGTGTGGTGGGTTTTTTAACGAGTGGCGAGGCAAAATTTTGGCGTTAAAATGTATTGAATACCGAATTTAATGTATACTGATGCCATCGAATACCCGGGGTCCACTGTTATGTCTTTCTACCTCTGTATGCTAGAAGTGATCAAGGTCCCAGGACCGAAATGTTTTCTAATAAATATGTCATAGCCTTTGCTTATGTGTCTTTCTAAACCAACTATTGTCTTAACCCCTTGACTGTCACAACCCCGAATCCTGATGTGTCTCCTGGTGTCGCAAAAAAAAAAAAAAAAAAAAAAAAAGTCCCATGAAATGATAGAGAATCTTTTCCTGATTGCAATGACACCAAAAGAATGAAATTTGATGGAAAACCAACGGAATTATGCTCTCACTAACTTAGTGACCTAGGCGATATTTACGAATTGGCGATTTCGCCCACTTTGAGCCCTATTTTCAGCTAATTCCATTGTTCCAGTCGACCAAACTCATAGCAATTTCTTTAGAACTCCATTTTTTCTATCGATTAAGTACAAGAAACTGCCCATTTACCAATTTCAACTACCCAATAACGTGGTCAGAAATTTGCAATTTGGCCAATTTCACGAAAATTAAAAAATATGTCAATTTCAAAATAGGGTCCATAATGAACAATGCAGACATTCCTGGCTCTAAAATAACATTTTCTATGTTCATCAGTCATGTCTCCAGGCCCCTTTGATATTACCCTTGCTTTCTATTTTGAATTTTTATTCAAACAAAAAATAGAAGATTTACTGTTATGCAGACTACTGCAATATTGTACTAATTGTATAAATAATGTCAACCCATTCATGACTGCATATTAGAGTGGCTAGTTGGACATTTAATGGACAATGACATCATTTGTTTACTTTTGAACATCGGCAAAAATCAAACATTTCCCCTACTTTGAGCTCCATTTCAAGGTTCTTTTCAAGTAAAACAAATCAAAATTGCCTCTATTTCTATAATATGTTTTCTATTCTATCATACGAGACCAAGAAAACGAGAATACAACCATAAATACTATATGAAAATAGTCCACAAAGTCGGCATTTAAAAAAAAAAAAAAAAAAAAAAAAAAAAAAAAAAAAAACGGTCGGAGTTTTTTTTTCTCATTATGCACTGTGTGCTGCAAGATTTTTTTTTTATATGGTGCACACTGACCACACAGACCCATTCTCTCACATGTGGGCCTACCAGCTTTCTCCTGCTTGATTTGAAGCCGCTAGAATTTACAAGTATATATACGTCAAACACGGTGGCTCATAAGACGTATATATACGACAAACAGTCAGAGGGTTAATTGACAGTTAACTATAAAATATTTTATTTTTTTGTTTTCCTTTGCCAGATGTTTAGTATATAATCCAATTTTCTTCATGTACTATAACTATACATTCAATTTATGTGGATTCACTTTACACACAGTTTGCCAGGAAGATAAGATTTTGAACCCAGAGGATTAGAAACTCAGGATAACCCAAGAAAGTCCATGTGTCATTGGGGACCACCAGTCTTATTTCCATTGGGGGTCCCTTAATCTTCTCCCCAGGATGCCACCAACAACAGTCGACTAACACCCACATACCTACCTACTGTTAGGTGAACAGGGGCAAGTGGTGTAAGGAAATGCCCAACATTTCACCAGTGCTGGAGAGCAATCATAGACACTCAGTGTGTGAGCCAAGATATGCAATCAACCAAGCCACAAGCCTCCCTCATGTCAATCAAGTGCTTATGGTATATTACATTTAATATACTATAAACCAAGGAATGCTAGATTAGGTCTTGTTACTAACAGTGAGACTCGGTAAATAATATTTGTCTTATCTACTCACCAACGGTTGACAGCACTTTAGAGAGCATGTAAAAAGTATAAACACAGTATATTATATATATATATATAAACTTATTTATTTCAGCAGAAGTACAAAAGAGTTAAATAAGAGGACATGCATTATACTGCATATATAAATAGTATTCTGGAACATGCCATATAAAGACATGACAATGCCCATGTAAGAATAACTTCAGTCCTACTGGAAAGGAATTTCTTAAGCTGCCATGCATACCATACTCAGAGGAATGTCTGAAGGTAATTTCATTGACCTAGTGAAGTCTCCTAGCTCGTGCTAAATGATTTTGTTCACTCGTGTATGAAAATTTTCCTGGGTAATGGAAACACAACCAGCATTTGTTTTCACCATTTAACCAATTCAAAACAGAATATCCACACACTGCAGATGCAGCCAGTCGAGTTAAAAAGTACACAACATACACAAATTATATCCATACATTATACAAGGGAAATGTTTACTATAAAACAGCATTACCCTCAGTACAATACAGGGAATCATACAAATGTTTCGACTCTCATTAAAAGTGCACACTAATTAATCATCCTTCTGGGCTATGAATTCTGATGAAAACATAGTCAAGAAAATTATACACTGTACTAAATAATAATAGGGAACTACTATGGTGTTACTTTTTTATTTTTTTTTAACCATGCCAGCTGTCTCTAGCAAAGATATGGTGACCTCCCCCCCCCCCATTCCCCTAAAACACAAAAGAAGCATACACCATAATTCATTCAACAGCTGTCTTGCCAGCTACTGAACCTCTAAAGTGCAACATTTCCCATCCATAATTCAGAGTGCAAGTACTGTACTTCTCACCCGTATGACTAGTTTGGCTAACTGGTTTCCCTGAATCTTTTCATAGATGTTATCCTGCTCACATTCCAACAACATGTCATGCCATAAAAGCTCACTTTTATCTAAATTCTTGTATAATATTCCCACCATGTTTCTCTCAAACAGACCTCTCCACTGTCCCTAGCTTCCCCCTCAATGCAACATTTAAAACATGTTCCTCATATCCATATAAAAATGTGGGTACATGTCCCTATATACAGTGGAACCTCAAATATCGAACTTTCTTCAGTCCAGAAGGCTGTCCAAGTGCTGTTACCGAATGAATTTATTCCCATCAGGAATAATGTAAATTAGATTAGTCCATTTCAAACCCTCAAAAATACACTTACATAATTGGTCGAGTTGGGAGCAGTTCGATTTTTGAGGTTCCACTGTACTGGTATATTCCCCTTTTTGCCTCCACAGATAAGTTTCATTCTATAGATTCTACAACATTCCACCCATCTTTTTCCCCTCATCCATTTTATGGTTCACCTCATCTTTCATAGACCGATCTGCTAACATGCCTGCTCCCAAAATTCTAAAAACATTTACTTTCTTCATACTCACTCCCTCTCCCCAATCTGGTGTCAAATCTTTCAGTTCTCAATTTTTTTTTTTTTATTCATCACCTTTCCTTTTTTTTTTTTTTTTCTTAAGCTCATTAGTAATTCTGTTCTTTTACATACACTCCCTTTGTAACTTCTCTCCAGAATCTCCAGAAAGATCTGTGTCATCAACAGAGAATAACTGTGACAAGTTCTACTTTGTATTAGATTCATTATCCTTTAATCCTACATCTTTACCCTACACCTTAGTTTTCACTTATTTAACAACTCCTGTTAACAACTCCTATATATATATGTATATGTATATATATATTATAGGTAGTAGGTTGGTAAACAGCAACCGCCCAGGGAGGTACTAGTCCTGCCAAGTGAGTGTAAAACGAAAGCCTGCAATTGTTTTACATGATGGTAGAATTGCTGGTGTCCTTTTTTCTGTCTCATAAACATGCAAGACTTCAGGTACGTCTTGCTACTTCTACTTACACTTAGGTCACACTACGCATACATGTACAAGCGTATATATACATACCCCTCTGGGTTTTCTTCTATTTTCTTTCTAGTTCTTGTTCTTGTTTATTTCCTCTTATCTCCATGGGGAAGTGGAACAGAATTCTTCCTCTGTAAGCCATGCGTGTTGCAAGAGGCGACTAAAATGCTGGGAGCAAAAGGCTAGTAACCCCTTCTCCTGTATATATTACTAAATTTGAAAAGAAACTTTCGTTTTTCCTTTTGGGCCACCCTGCCTCGGTGGGATACGGCCGGTGTGTTCAAAGAAGGAAGGAAGGATGGGATGGATGGGATGGATTGGAGATATTATAATATATATATATATATATATATATATATATGAGGTGGTTTGGTCATTTAGAGAGAATGGATCAAAGTAGAATGACATGGAAAGCATATAAATCTATAGGGGAAGGAAAGAGGGGTAGGGGTCGTCCTCGAAAGGGTTGGAAAGAGGGGGTAAAGGAGGTTTTGTGGTCGAGGGGCTTGGACTTCCAGCAAGCGTGCGTGAGCGTGTTAGATAGGAGTGAATGGAGACGAATGATACTTGGGACCTGACGATCTGTTGGAGTGTGAGCAGGGTAATATTTAGTGAAGGGATTCAGGGAAACCGGTTATTTTCATATAGTCGGACTTGAGTCCTGGAAATGGGAAGTACAATGCCTGCACTTTAAAGGAGGGGTTTGGGATATTGGCAGTTTGGAGGGATATGTTGTGTATCTCTATACATATATGCTTCTAAACTGTTGTATTCTGAGCACCTCTGCAAAAGCAGTGATAATGTGTGAGTGTGGTGAAAGTGTTGAATGATGATGAAAGTATTTTCTTTTTGGGGATTTTCTTTCTTTTTTTTGGGTCACCCTGCCTCGGTGGGAGACGGCCGACTTGTTGAAAAAAAAAAAAAAAAAAAAAAAAAAATATATATATATAAATTATATATATAATATATATATATATAATATATATATAAATATATATATATATAAATACTGTATATATTTTATATTTTTTTTTTTTTTTTCACAGTCGGCCGTCTCCCACCGAGGCGGGTGACCCAAAAAAGAAAGAAAATCCCCAAAAAGAAAATACTTTCATCATCATTCAACACTTTCACCACACTCGCACATATCCTGTTTTTGCAGAGGTGCTCAGAATAAAAACAGTCTAGAAGCAAAAAACATATAAAGATACACAACATATCCCTCCAAACTGCCAATATCCCAAACCCCTCCTTTAAGTGCAGGCATTGTATTTCCCCAAATTTCCAGGACTCAAGTCCGACTATATGAAAATAACCGGTTTCCCTGAATCCCTTCACTAAATATTACCCTGCCACACTCAACGATCGCGGGTCCCAAGTCCCAAATTCGTCTCCATTCACTCCTATCTAACACGCTCACGCACGCTTGCTGGAAGTCCAAGCCCCTTACCCACAAAACCTCCTTTACCCCTCTCTCCAACCCTTTCGAGGACGACCCCTACCCCGCCTTCCTCCCCTATAGATTTATATGCTTTCCATGTCATTCTACTGTGATCCATTCTCTCTAAATGACCAAACCACCTCAACAACCCCTCTTCTGCCCTCTGACTAATACTTTTATTAACTCCACACCTTCTCCAAATTTCCACACTCCGAATTTTCTGCATAATATTTACACCACACATTGCCCTTAAACGGAAACATCTCCCTGCCTTCCAACCGTCTCCTCGCTGCGGGCATTTAAACCACCCAAGCTTCACACCCATATAAGAGTTTTGGTACTACTTATACTTTCATACATTCCCTTCTTTGCCTCCATAGATAACGTTTTTTGACTCCACATATACCTCAACGCACCACTCACCTTTTTTCCCTCATCAATTCTATGATTAACCTCTCCTTCATAAATCCACCCGCCGACACGTCAACTCCCAAGTATCTGAAAACATTCACTTCTTCCATACTCCTCCTCCCAATTTGATACCCAAATTTTTTTCTTTATCTAATCATTGACACCCTCATTCACCTTACTCTTTTCTATGTTCACTTTCAATTTTCTACCTTTACCCCACATCCCAAACTCATCCACTAACCTTTGAAATTTTTTTCTTTAGAATCCCCCAATAAGCACAGTATCATCAGCAAAAGTAACTGTGTCAATTCCCATTTTGAATTTGATTCCCATAATTTAATCCCACCCCTCTCCCAAACACCCTAGCATTTACTTCCTTTACAACCCCATCTATAAATATATTAAACAAACCATGGTGACATTACACATCCCTGTCTAAGACCTCTTTTACCGGGAAGTGTCTCCCTCTCTTCTACACACCTAACCTGAGCCTCACTATCCTCATAAAAAACTCTTTACAGCATTTAATAACTTACCACCTATTCCATATACTTGCAACATCTGCCACATTGGCTCCTCTATCCACTCTATCATATGCCTTTTCTAAATCCATAAATGCAATAAAAACTTCCCTATCTTTATCTAAATACTGTTCACATATATGCTTCAATGTAAACACCTGAATCTACACACACCCTACCCACTCTAAAACCTCCTTGCTCATCCGCAATCCTACATTCTGTCTTCCCTCTAATTCTTTCAATTAAAAACCCTACCGTACACTTTTCCTGGTATACTCAGTAAGCTTATTCCTCTATAATTTTTACAGTCTCTTTTGTCCCCTTTCCCTTTATATAAGGGACTATACATGCTCTCTGCCAATCCCTAGGTACCTTCCCCTCTTTCATACATTTATTAAACAAAAGTACCAACCACTCCAACACTATATATCCCCCCTGCTTTTAACTTTTCTGTCATGATCCCATCATTTTCCAGCTGCTTTACCCCCTTTCATTTTACGTAATGCCTCACGTACCTCCCCCACACTTACATTCTGCTCTTCTTCACTCCTAAAGAGGGTATACCTCCCTGACCAGTGCATGAAATTACGGGCCTCTGTTTCTTCCTTAACATTTAAAAGTTCCTCAAAATATTCTCGCATCTTCCCAATACCTCCATCTCCCCATCTACTAACTCCCCTACTCTGTTTTTTAACTGACAAATCCATATTTTCCCTAGGCTTTCTTAACTTGTTTAACTCACTCCAAAATTTTTTTCTTATTTTCATTAAAATTTCTTGACAGTGCCTCTCCCCTCTATCATCTGCTCTCCTTTTGCACTCTCTCACCACTCTCTTTACCTTTCTTTTACTCTCCATATCTCTGCTCTTCTTATAACACTTCTGCTTTGTAAAAACCTCTCATAAGCTACCTTTTTCTCTTTTATCACACCCTTTACTTCATTCATTCCACCAATCATTTCCTCTTTCCCCTCCTGCCCCCACCCTCCTATAACCACAAACTTCTGCCCACATTCTAAAAAACTGCATTTTTAAAACTATTCCAACCCTCTTCAACCCCCCACTACTCATTTTTGCACTAGCCCACCTTTCTGCCAATATTTCGCTTATATCCACCCGAACTTCCTCCCCCCTTAGTTTATACACTTTCACCTCCCTCTTACTTGTTTTGCCACCTTCCTCTTTTCCCATCTCCCTTTCTTACTCTAACTGTAGCTACAACTAAATAATGATCCGATAAATCAGTTGCCCCTCTATAAACATGTACATCCTGGAGCCTACCCATCAACCTTTTATCCACCAATACATAATCTAATAAACTACTTTCATTACGTGCTACATCATACCTTGTATATTTATTTATCCTCTTTTTCATAAAATATGTATTACTTATTACCAAATTTCTTTCTACACATAGCTCAATTAAAGGCCCCCCATTTACTTTACCCCTGGCACCCCAAATTTACCTACTACTCCCTCCATAACATTTTTAACCCACTTTAGCATTAAAAATCCCCAACCACCATTACTCTCAAAACTTGATTCAAAACTCCCCACGCATTCACTCAACATTTCCCAAAATTTTCTCTCTCTCCTCTACACTTCCCCTCTTCCCAGGTGCTTTAACACGCTTATTATAACCCACTTTTTTCACATCCAATCTTTATTTTACTCCACATAATCCTTGAATTAATACATTTTTAGTCCCTCTTTTCCTGCCATAGCTTATCCTTCAACATTATTGCTACTCCTTCTTTAGCTCTAACTCTATTTGAAAACCCCCGACCTAATCCCATTTAAATTCCTCCCACTGAAACTCTCCCACCCCCTTCAGCTTTGTTTCACTTAAAGCCAGGACATCCAGCTTCTTTTCATTCATAACTCCACAATCATCTCTTTTTTATCATCTGCACAACATCCACGCACATTCAACTTCCCACTTGACAATTTTCTTCTTCTTATTTTTTTTAGATCTTTACAGGAAAGGGGTTACTAGCCCATTGTTCCCGGCATTTTTTTGTTGACTTTTACAACACGCATGGCTTAGGAGGAAAGATTCTTATTCCACTTCCCCATGGATATAAAAGGAAAATTAATAAGACCAAGAACTATTAAGATAAAATCAAAGAAAACTCAGATGAGTGTGTATAAATAAATGTTACATGTATGTGTAGTTGGGCCTAAGTGTAATAGAAGTAAGCAAGACATGCCTGTAATCTTGCATATTTATGAGACAGACAAAAGACATCAGCAATCCTACCATCATGTAAAACAATCACAGGCTTCGTTTTACACTCACTTTGGGAGGACGGTAGTACCTCCCCGGGTGGTTGCTGTCTACCAACCTACTATATATATATATATAATACCTAGGTAGTAGGTTGGTAGACAGCAGCCGCCCAGGGAGGTACTACCGTCCTGCCAAGTGAGTGTAAAACGAAAGCCTGTAATTGTTTTACATGATGGTAGGATTGCTGGTGTCCTTTTTTCTGGGCTCATGAACATGCAAGATTTCAGGTACGTCTTGCTACTTCTACTTACACTTAGGTCACACTACACATACATGTACAAGCGTATATATACATACCCCTCTGGGTTTTCTTCTATTTTCTTTCTAGTTCTTGTTCTTGTTTATTTCCTCTTATCTCCATGGGAAAGTGCAACAGAATTCTTCCTCCGTGCCCCATGCATGTTGTAAGAGGCAACTAAAATGCCGGGAGCAAGGGGCTAGTAACCCCTTCTCCTGTATATACATGTATTACTAAATGTAAAAGGAGAAACTTTCGTTTTTCCTTTTGGGCCACCCCACCTCGGTGGGATATGGCCGGTGTGTTGAAAGAAAGAAAGATATATATAATAAACAACCATGGTGATATTACATATCTAAGGCCTACTTTTACTGAAAAACAGTCCTCGTCTCCTACATACTCTAACATGAGCCATCACCACAACTCTTTACCGCTTTTAGTAACGTACCGCCTTCCATATATCTGCAGCATCTGCCACATTGATTCTCTATCCACCCTATCGTAGCCTTTTCTAAATTCATAAATGCAACAAACGGTTCCTTATCCTTATCTCAGTATTGTTCACCCGTATGTTTCACTGTAAAAGCTTGGTCTACACATCCTGTAGCCTTTGAAATTCTATTTGTTCCTCTGCAATCCTATTTTCTGTCTTATCTCTTTTAAACATTTTAGCCAGTATACTCAATAAGCATACAACTCTTACACTCACTCTTGTCCCCCCTTCCCCTATACAAATGAGCTATGCATGCTATCTGGGCTGACATACCCAACATATGAAAAAATTTTAAGAAATTAGTTTATATAAATTGATAGACCTGATCAAAGAAACATACATAAAAGAAAAAACTCAATTTAAAGGATTAATGGGGAATGAGAAAATGAGGCGATTGTAGTGAACTGAGATAATAAGGAACAATTCTGTAGCCGACAGACTTTGTCCATTGTTATTTAATGGAATGACCCCAGTAGATTTTGTCCTGCATCTTCGAAATCCTTTAAATCAAGGTTCACTATATAAAAAAGCTTATGGAGAACTACGAGTATAAATCATTTAAGTTACTTCGCTTAATCAGCATGCATGGCACACAATGCCACTGAATGAAGAAGAGAAAATGCAAGGAAACATGTTATAACATTAGATAATCTGATACAGAAAAATACTGAATAAAATTTTTACCTGTAACAGGTGACAAAATGCGCATAAGCTACCAAAATCCAATTATGATGAGCTTTCACCATCCGAACCCTTAAGGGATCCACCCAGCTTGAACCTAGATGAAAGAAAGGTCATTCATTAAACAATGCTGAACAATATGTACAAAGAAATTCTGATTACAAATTAAGAAGCTTGAAAAGAAAATAACAAGTTAAAACAATACTCTACATAAAAGGCATTCTGATAGTATCCCCAACCAAAATGATGCTTATCCTAAATCATTAGAAAATGTAACAAGGTACAGTTGTACCTCAAGTTTTTTTTTTATTATTAACACATCGGTCGATTCCCACCAAGGCAGGGTGGCCCGAAAAAGAAAAACTTTCATCATTCACTCCATCACTGTCTTGCCAGAGGGATGCTTTACACTACAATTATAAAACTGCAACATTAACACCCCTCCTTCAGAAGGCTGTTCGAGTGCCAATACCGAATGAATCTGTTCCCATAAGGAATAATGTAAATTAGATTAGTCCGTTTCAGACTCCCAAAAATACACTTACAAAAATACACTTACATAATTGTTTGAGTTGGGAGCTGTTCGAAACTCGAGATACCACTGTATTGTCCAAAAAAATTTATACTGTATCTGCATGGATATAGAAGATGTAGAATAATTGAAGCAATAGATTAGTTCAAGGATCATAACGAGTGTGACTTGGGAGTCTGTGTTCCTCCTAAGCACAGTGGAACCTCGACTTACAAATGCCCCACCATGTGAATTTTTCAGGATATGAACAGTCACTCGATCAATTTTTTGCTTCTGGTTTGAACGAAATTTCAGGATGCGAACTTCCCCTAAGGGAGGTTCCTTGGTGAGGGGCTCTTGATCAAGGGAATTGGATCTGTGCTCCACTTCCCTAAATTAATAATAATAATAATTATTATTATAATACATACGTACTAATATTACACTGCAGCACGCCTGCTGGCCCATACTAGGCAGGTACTTCACAATCCATCCCACTAACAGAATATTTGCCCAACTCAATTTTCAATGCTACCCAAGCAATAAGCCTTGATAATTCATAGAATTGATGAAGGAAAAAAGGCGAGTGGTGCATTGAGGTATATGTGGAGTCAAAAAACGTTACCTATGGAGGCAAAGAAAGGAATGTATGAAAGTATAGTAGTACCAACACTCTTATATGGGTGTGAAGCTTGGGTGGTAAATGCAGCAGCGAGGAGACAGTTGGAGGCAGTGATGCCCTGTCTAAGGGCAATGTGTGGTGTAAATATTATGCAGAAAATTCGGTGTGTGGAAATTAGGAAAAGGTGTGGAGTTAATAAAAGTATTAGTCAGAGGGCAGAAGAGGGGTTGTTGAGGTGGTTTGGTCATTTAGAGAGAATGGATCAAAGTAGAATGACATGGAAAGCATATAAATCTATAGGGGAAGGAAGGCGGGGTAGGGGTCGCCCTTGAAAGGGTTGGAGAGGGGGGATAAAGGAGGTTTTGTGGGTGAGGGGCTTGGACTTCCAACAAGCGTGCGTGAGTGTGTTAGATAGGAGTGAACGGAGACGAATGGTACTTGGGACCTGACGATCTGTTAGAGTGTGAGCAGGGTAATATTTAGTGAAGGGATTCAGGGAAACCGGTTATTTTCATATAGTCGGACTTGAGTCCTGGAAATGGGAAGTACAATGCCTGCACTTTAAAGGAGGGGTTTGGGATATTGGCAGTTTGGAGGAATATGTTGTGTATCTTTATACGTATATGCTTCTAAACTGTTGTATTCTGAGCACCTCTGCAAAAACAGTGATAATGTGTGAGTGTGGTGAAAGTGTTGAATGATGATGAAAGTACGTATTTTCTTTTTGGGGATTTTCTTTCTTTTTTGGGTCACCCTGCCTTGGTGGGAGATGGCCGACTTGTTGGGGGGGAAAAAAAAAAATCTATTTACTCATGTGCAAGTCCCACTCACATCCAACCCATCTCATTCATGTATTTATCCAACACAAATTTGAAACTACCCAAGGTTTTAGCCTCAATAACCATACTAGGCAGATTGTTTAACTCATCAACATAGAAGAAGAAGAAGAAGAAGATTTTCGTTCGGATTTTTAACCCCAGAGGGTTAGCCACCCAGGATAACCCAAGAAAGTCAGTGCGTCATCGAGGACTGTCTGACTTATTTCCATTGGGGTCCTCAATTTTGTCCCCCAGGATGCGACCCACACCAGTCGACTAACACCCAGGTACCTATTTGCTGCTAGGTGAACAGGACAACAGGTGTAAGGAAATGTGTCGAAATGTTTCCACCCGCCGGGAATCGAACCCAGGCCCTCCATGTGTGAAGCGGGAGGTTTAGCCACCAGGCCACCGGCACTTCAGCAGGCCTGTTGTCCCATACTTAGCAGGTCCTTCACAAATCCAACCCATTAACAGAATAAATGCTACCCAAGCAATAAACTTTAATAATCCTATTTACTAATGTGCAAGTCCCACTCAAATCCAACCGCTCTCACTCGTGTATTTATCCAACCTAAATTTGAAACTACCCAAGGTTTTAGCTTCAATAGAACCTTGGGTAGCTTTAAAAAGAGATTGGACAAATATACGAGTGGGAGGGGATGGGTATGATTGGTGTCGTGCGTATATAATATTAGAAACGAGGAAGACTGCAGTAGGCCTGTTGGCCCATACTAGACAGGTCCTTCACAGATCCAACCCACTAAAAGAGCAAACGTACCCAAGCAATAAACGTTCACAATTCTATTTGCTCGTCTTGACTGTGTTGCTAATGGAGTTACAGGAAGCTGACATAGAAGAAATGCTGAACACTTACAATGATGCACCTGTTGTACATTCCTTGAGTGATGGTGAAATTAGATGAATTGTGATATATAAATAAGCCGTAGAGTTGATATTAGCATCATATTGAAGTATTTTGTCTTGCCTCTTAAGAGCAGTAATTCTGCTGGAACGGATTAATGCCATTTCAGTTAATTTAAATGAGGAAAATTGACTCTAGCATACGAACAAATCGGGATACGAACAAGGTCACGGAATGGATTAAATTTGTAAGCCGAGGTTCCACTGTATATGCAGTTTTTCATACACAGTTGCCAAAATAAAAGTAAATGATATATAAATGAATAACAGAAAAAAAGTGATGGGATAAAAGAAGCTAGCTGTTGCAAGTAGCTGTGTGACAGCCACAGAAAAGCTTCAGCCCTCCAGCACTTGCATCAGCTGCACCATGTAATTTTTTTTTTATACTACACAGGCTGCCTCACCAAAGTAAGGTGACACTCACCCCGAAGAAAACTACAAATGTGATTTTCATGTGATGCTCAGGTGGAGATCTGTACATGATATGCTGTAAAAGGAAGAGCATTGTGCCTTCTCAAATTAAAAGATGAGAACCAAGACAACTTGAACAATCAATATTGAGGATTAGCCTACACACACAGTACTATAAATCTAGATAAAAAAAAAAAAAAAAAAGACCAAGATATGTGAAAAGGCAACATATATCTTATAATGGAATGTCATATTGTACCACCTTTGATCAAGTATAAATGTCCAACAACACAGTAATTATTTCATAATAAAGAAACATGAAGTTTGGTAGACAAGACATATAGGCAACATTTAGGCAACTTTATTCCGAAACGTTTCGCCTACACAGTAGGTTTCTTCAGTCGAGTACTGTGTAGGCGAAACGTTTCGGAATAAAGTTGCCTAAATGTTGCCTATGTGTCGCATCTACCAACCTGTTGGTATTGTATACCATTTGATAATCAAACATGAAGTTTAAGACGAGGAAATCTGATAGCTTACCTGGGGGTCCTGCATTGTTTAAAACATTGATTTCATTCTTGAAGAATTTATTAAGATCAGCAGAAGAGTTCCGTGAGTGCCTAAGATCCATGGAGGGCGTTCTAGAGTGTGATCTTGCAGCATGGCTCCGAAGATCACTTGAGCTACGGGACATGTGCCCTGGATACACACCATTATGCAGACCTGGGTGCAAGCATGAAGCAATGAGATAAATAAATAAAAGTTATGTAAGATTGCTTAATTTTGTGAATTTTTCCATAGATGTACACTGTACAGTATATAATACTGATATTGAATTTTTTAATGACTTAACTTATTTCAAGAGGCTAAAAATAATTATGTATGAGCTCGGAGCGTGTAAATGCATATTCATCAATCAATGCATTCCTCTCTCTCTCTCTTTTTAACCACCATGAGACTAAAGTAGAACTACTTTTCAGCATTACTATGGCTCACCTTTTTCTAAAACTTTTACCTGTGTTCTCCTTGTCTCTGACACTAATTCAAATAGTTAGTTTATCACTATTAATTTCTCTCAAAACTGTCACAAACATCTCCACTAGTCTTCCTCTCAACCAAGGATGTCATGCTCAGTTCCTTCAACTTCTCATAGTGCATTCTTCTCAGTTTGTAAACTAGTGTGGTTGCCAACCTTAGGGCCACATGGAGTTTCAGCATGTGCTTTACCAAAGAGGGGGGGGACTCCTTGCTGGGCCACATACTTGACTGCACTTTTTGTCTTGCTCATTAGCATAAGCAATTAGTTTTATATTATATCTGTATTAATATATTAAACAATCAAAAGTATTAAATAAAATCTTGCCTGAAATATTAGGCACAATATTGTATAGGCTTTGTAAATTATCATGTACATTATATTTGCATTGTCCCTTACCTTTTATGTAATTAGTTTTGCAAATAAATATTTGAATCTGAATTGGAGAGATAATGAAATGGATACCATATTCAACACAACCTTCAGCTGTCTTCTCAACTGAAAATAACATGGCTATAGCTATTCCACAAATTCTATTTTGTAGAGAGAATGGCATAATAGACATTAGTGAAATCAACATTAAATACATTAAAATGAAATACATATCTGAAGAAGCCGAGTCTAAACAAATTAATTAGGCTGGAAAAACTACTTTAACGAATCTAAACACCAAACTGTGAACCCTACGAGTAGTAGTAGTCAGGGTTATCTTGAACCTTTGATAGGCTGGGTGCTGCATAGTGCAGGAGCAATGTGGCAGATTTATGGAAGAGGTGGTAGGTTACTTAACACAGTCAAGAGCTTTTATGTAAATAGTGATGGGCAAGTTGAACATAGGAGAGAGGGAGAGTATTTTCCAATAAGACAGGGATGTGCAATGTCGCCATGGTTGTTTGACATTTATAGATGGGGTTGTAAAAGAAGTGAATGCTAGTGTGTTGGGAAGAGGTGTGGAACTGAAAGACAGCGAATCTAGTACAAAGTGGCAGTTAGTTTTTGCCAATGACAGTTTTGTTGGGAGATTTAGAGAAGTAGCAAAGGTGGGTAAATGAATTTGGGAGGGTATGTAAAAGAAGGAAATTAAAAGTAAACTTAGGAAATAGCTAGCTGGTGAAAGTATATAAAAAAAAAAAGGAAATGAGAGATTAGATATCAGACTGGAGATAAGGAGTATGGAAGAAGTAAATGAGTTCATATATTTGGGAGTGGATTTGTCAGTACATGGCTCTATGAGAGACAAGGTGAGCTACAGAACTGATGAAAGTAAAAAGGTGGGTGGCGCACTGAGGCATCTGTGGAGACAAAGAGTTATATCTACAGAGGCAAAAATGGGAAAATGTACCAGAATATAGCAGTACCAACACTGTTGATGGGTGTGGAGGAGGGATTTTGAATGTTGTAGCAAGGAGGCGGCAGCGGCTGAAGGCAGTAAATATGTTGTGTTTGACAGCAATGTGGTGTAAGCATTATGCAGAGAGTTCAGAGTTTGTAAATTAGGAAATGTGGGGTCACCAAAAGTATTATTCAGAGGAGTGAGGGGTTGTTGAGGGAGTTTGGACATTGAGAGAGGATGGAGAAAAATAATATGACTAGGAGGGTGTATAAATGTGAGGTGGCAGGAAGGAGGGTTGGGGTCATTCTAGGAAAGGTTGGAGGCAGGAGTAAAGAAGGTTTTGAGTGCTAGGGGATAAGACATGCAACAGACTTGTGTGAGCATGTTAGGAATGAGTTTGTGGAGGTAAGTGGGTTTTATGATTTGCTTGCAATTTGAGTGTGAGCAAGGTAACATTTATGAAGTGATTCAGGGAAACTGTTTAACCAGACTCAAGTCCTGGAGGTGTGAAATATAGTGTCAAAACACTGAAAGAGAGGCGAGGATGTTGTAATTTGGAGGGTCATCTGAACTATAATGTCAGTGTCCTTCTGGTAAGACAGTGATTGAATGAGGGACAGTTAAAATGCTTTTCTGTTTTGTCAGGGTAACCTACCTCAGCAGATGGCCGGTGTTAAAAATAATAATAAAATAATGTGTAATGAATGTTGTATCATTATTTGGGATATTCACTATAATCCCCATTATAATTACAAGTGATACCTACCCTCCCACCTTCATCTTGAGGGAAGTAGGGATGTGAATACATTCTGTGAGGCACCCCTCCGGGCGTGGGGCCAAATGTGTTGCATCGATGGCACTTGCCTCAAGCCGGCCCTGAATACAGCAGTTAACAAAATCAGTAGAAGAGGGCAAGCACCAAATGATTGGAAACTAACAAATGTTACTCCAATATTAAAAAAAAAAAGACAGGACACATGCCCAGAAGTACCACCCTATTAGCTAGACACATCAGGAAAAGTAATGCAGACCATCATTAGAGGAAGAAACATAACATACCTGGAAGATAACTCACTAACTGATAATCAAGTAGAATGCATAACACAGTAAAAGATCCTGTATAACAAACTTATTAGAATTTCTTAATTACAAGGAAAAGGGAAACTGCTTTAATAAATTCCCACAGGGTGTAGACTAATTTTAAATCCGGAAATCCTTCACTAAAGTACCGCATAAAAGATTGTTTGGGAAGATAAAGTTACATAGTACAGGTAACAAACTTTACTCCATGATCAATGATCAGCTCACCAATAGGAAACTAGTTTTAAATGGTTAAGTACTATATTTCAATGGCTGAATGTAACAATTTTCATAATGTATATAAATGAACTCAAAACAAGAATAACAAAAATACAGCAAAACTCACAGATGACAAAGAATTAGGAAAATAAAGCACATCTTTGACTGACTGCAGCAATATTCAGAGGGACCTGAATAAGTTAGGGCAATGATGCGAGATGTAGAAAACTAACTTCAATGTCAATTTATATAAAGTAAGGCATTTTGAATAAAACAACATGTATTAAATATGAATATAAAAATGAACGTCTGCTGGTTGAGATAAAAAAAGAGAAGGATTTTGGAGTATAGGCAATGATACCAATGCAGCTAAACAATGTCTAGCTGTAAGTAACAGAGGAAACAGCACTAAATTTCAGAGTAAGAAATTCTGAATGCAACCCACCAGAAACAACAGCGACCTCTAAAACGCACTAGTCAGGCCTCTCCTTGTTGTTCAGTATTAGTCCCTAAATTACATAAGAGATGACTTGTCGGCAGACTGGTCTATGAAAGATGAGGTGAACTACTGAACTGATGAGAAAAAGGTGGGTGATGCATCAGGGCATCTGTGGAAACAAAAGAACCTTATCCATTGAGGTAAACAGAGCAATGTACCCGAGTATAGTGGTACAAAACTCTTATATGGGTGTGAAGCATGGGTTTATATGTTGCAGCAAGGAGGCTGGAGGTAGTGGAATGTGTCTGAGGGCAATGTGTGGCATATCATTCAAGAAATTCATAATTTACAGATCAGAAGGTGTAGGGTTACTAAAAGTATTGTTCAGAAGGCTGAGGCAGGATTTTTGAGGTGGTATGGACATTTTGAAAGGATGGAGCAAAACAGGATAAATTGGAGGGTGTATAAATCTGTAGTGGAAGGAAGGAGGAATAGAGGTCATCCTAGGAAAGGCTGGAGGGAGGGGGTAAAGGAGGTTTTGTATATGAGGGGCTATGACATTCAATAGGCATGTGCATGTATGTTAGGTAAGAGTGAGTGGAGGCAAGTGGTTTTTATGGTTATGTGCTCTTGGAGTGAGAGAAAGGTAAAATTTATGAAGGGAATCAGGAAAACCAGTTAGCCAGACTTGAGTTCTGAAGGAGGGATGGGGATACTGCAGTTTGGAGGGGCATCTGAACTGTAATGTCAGCCTGCCTCTGGCAAGACAGTGATAGTGATGGTGAAAGCATTTCTTCTTTTACGGATCACTCTACCTAGGTGGAAAATGGCCAGCGTGTTAAAAAAAAAGCTCATACTTTTGCGAAGAAATAGACTATTAGAAATGACTCAAAACATAAATCATATCTTCTATATAGGAAATAGACATTACAAACCTCTAAGAAGCTAAGTTAATAAGGGCCCTGTATCCATGGTAGGCCCACTGTAGAGAATGTAGTACTGTACTTGCATTAAGGTCACACCTGATGTGAGAGGACAGACCTATACCTGGAGTATACCTGGAGAGGGTTTCAGGGATCAATGCCCCTGTGGCTCGGTATGAGACCAGGCCTTGTGATGGATTAGGGTCTGATCAACCAGGCTGTTACTGCTGGCTGCACACCAGGATATATTATTTACTGGGGAGGCAGTAAACTCATAAGGATTATATAATGCTTGGGAAATGGGAGTTAATCAGGTTTGATCCAGGGAAGGGAAGGAAAGGGTAGTTCATATTCCTTGAACCAAGAGCCTTTCATACAGGCCTATGATTGGATATTATGGGAAAAAAAAATATGGCAAGTCAGACACCATAATCACAATATACAAAAAATGCAGAGGCACCAAAGACAAGGGAACAACTGAAAATGAAGATGAGGTGTCACAGAATCAGGATATACTTTTTAGTTTTGGGTTTATGAAGTGGACTGACCTGAAAATGAAGGAGATGGAACAGCTTTGAATACAAGTCTGATAAGAAATAAAATGCTAAAAATCTGAAACAACTGGCCATTAGCAAGGACGAGGCAAGGTCAGGACTTGTGAATCAACCTCTCATAATCACAACTAGACTAGCAGAGCTAGGCATGTACATCCAGTTTATGGGACCTTGCAATAAAAAAAAACTTAAGCACTGTTCAGTGAAATTTAATTATTCATAATGATTACAGAACACACCTTGCCCAACAAGCTGCGGAGGATTATGACGCATATCAAGGGAAGAGTTACGAGAGTGGCCTGGCCTGGGGACTGCTACTGCTCCCCCTCCACCAGGTCCTGGAACTCCTCCACTTGATGTTGCTGTTGCTTCAGGTAAACGCATTACTCCCCCAGCTGTACTGTTGTTGTTATTGTTATTATTACTGTTCATGTTGTTATTACCATTGCTTGGTGGTGGTCTGCTCTGACTCTCACGGGACTCTGAAGATGAGGATTGTGGAGGCTCTTGAATTGGAATGCCTGTAATATATATCAATTGGAAATATGATAGTTTTGTGTACAGTAATAATAATCACAAAATGAAGAATCATTGTGGCAATAAAATGATCATAACATTAACTGCATAAAACCAAGAAACTTACTAGGAGGTGAGAGGTATCCACAAAAGAGGACATCTCCACATGATGAATGGTGCAAATCTTGGCACAACATTAACCGCTTCACCAATGGGGCAATACCATAGAACTCTGCTTCGTGCCTAAATATTGCAAGGCATAGGTCAAGAATCTTAAAAATATTTTGACTTAATTGGGTTATTACTTTTCTAATTAGCCCTTTACTGTTGTAACTAACAGATTAGAGAAGAGAAAAATAACAAAGAAAAATATTAAAAATGTGATGGCATGTCACAGGCATATATGACGAAACACTGAGTTGAAGGAACTTCAAAATATTAAGGAGTGAATCACTGGCAAACTTGAAATAATGGAGCACGAGAGATTATTATAATCATAACTAAGCACTAAACCCACATGGGTCATACAGCATTGAGGAACATTAGAAAGATTTGTGCAAAGACGAAATAAGGTAAAATTCCTAGACAGGATTATGTACGATGAAATATATTTTGGATGCAAAGAATAGAGTTTCTGCCATGACAGATGAAGATAAATAATTTGCAGGAAGAAGTTTGCCAATGAATGTAAAAATGGGAAAGGATCAGTCTAGTTTTGTAAGGTTTCAGGTTTAAAAACAGTAATGTATTATTATGGTTGCAATCCACTGTTAAACATCTCAAGTGATGTAAACATCACTTACAAAGTAAACTGGGCAAATTGATTCTGGAATGAAAGTCTGTTGGCTACAGAATTGTCTGTTAGTCACGATCTACCGAGAGAATTTATTTGAAAAACAACGGACAAAGCTCATTGTTTAGAAAATTGTTTGCTACTGCTATGACCAGCTGGGAAACTATTCCTGAAACAGTTTATGAAAAAGACGTAATGCAAAGAGCAGAAGGGCTATTACGATGTTAGTCATGAAGCATTATAAAGGCATCTTCATAAGGGATGAATGGAAGGAGCAGAAGGGGGCATCCAAGGAAAGGTTGGAAGGATGGGGTGAGAGATATTGAGAGAAAGAGGCTTGCACATATTACAGGTATATGTGAGGATTTTATATTGGAATGGATGGTGAAGGCTGGTCTATAGGGGTTACTGCATTGTTGGAGTGTGAGCATGGTAATATCTGAAGAGATTCAGAGAACCCACACCATGTGAAAGGCTCATCTTTCAAGTAAATACTGTATTAAATTACCAAATTCTGATATTCAGAAGTGAGACATTAAAAATATATGCTGCTACACCAATAGAGAAAATATTACTAATTTTTTGAAGGAATTTTAGATTAAGTCAATTAAAAATGTACTACTTAATTTTATATAACATAATAAAAATTAAAAGTTACCTGAATGGTCATTACATAGTCCAAAAACTGATTTAGAACTAAAAATTATTACCACAAAACAAAGACAACTGTTTCAACCAAATTATATTCAAATTATGGTTATAAAATTTTCATAATACAAATCATTTAAATAATGAAATATTTTAAAAGCTATCTGTATATAAAATAAAAAACTGAAGACTAAATTTATAAAGTCATCTCTTAAAACAATATAAAGCTATACCTCAGGGCACTGATATCAACAATCGACATGTTAAGATCCCGAGTACGAAGATAATTGAGAATGATGCTGAAGAGGGATGGATCCCGATCAATGAATATAGCTCCAGATTCATCTCTGAGTGTTGAGATTCGTCCAGACAATAAGGATGTGAAGAAAGTGTCAGGAACCCACGTGAGTGTGTGTCGTGATGTACTGAATCTGAAAAAAAAAAAAGAGCCAAACTAAAGTTAAATAAAAATACAATATCCACTAATTAACATGTTTCACGAGTATAATAATCATATACATGTACGAACAAATTCATTCCTATGGTAGGTTATTATGTCAATGAGTTGTTATAATGTCGAGTCCATTATTATCATTATGGGGGAGTGCTAAACCCTTAGGGGTTATACAGTGCCTATAAGGGGAAGGGATAGAAGACATTCAAGCTCAATTCAGGGAACTGGAGCACAGCTCCAATTCCCTAGATTATGAGACCCTCATCAGCATCAAGGACTCTCCCTTGAGGGGATGTGGAGTCCAGATGTCTCCTTTATCCTGGCTGAAAATAATGCACAGTAAAATTGGTTAATACTGTAACAGACTAGAAAACACAGATCTATAATGTAAATTTATCTGTGGAATTACCTTTATATATACTGTATAAGGTATTAAACAAAAATTAATATTACACATCTATGCCTACCAGTCTGTTAATTAAGTAGTTTTGTGTTACTAAAGTAAAAATAAATGGTTTTAGAACAGTACAAACACCTGCGAATCTACCAACTTCTTCTATCCACACAGACATCACTAAAAAAAGTAAATGTATTTGTATTTGTATTACTGTCCTGATGAACATCACCTACCAACTGGTGATAACTTCTAAAAATCAACTCATACCTAAACTTATCTTCATCCTTATTTTACAAACCTCTGTCCTCCCACATTGAGATGAATGATGTCCCCAGAGCCGGGGAAATACGTAGATGCCATGGTTAATCGTCTTGCAGGGGCAGTACTACTAGTCAACGTCAGCTTGACTCTCCGCCATGTTGTTTACATCCATCAGCTGGCCACTCGTCCCAGTCTGTAGACAACGACCTCAATCAAAATCATTAACTTCATTTTAATGCCAGTATTGAACACATGGGTCGTTAAAGTACACCTCTACACTAGCATAAATAGTAATCCCTATTTTTTCAACGCTTTATTTGTATAATAACTATATGATTAATGAAAATGTTGTTGAAATATCAAACAACAGTCTGGAAAAATACGTTTATTTAACCTGTTCACACGTACCTACTTAATAATTTTGGGTTTTATGCAATTATGAAAAGCTAGGTGTATTTCAGTCGTTGTGCGACAGTTGGGTTATAGCCATGAACCCGTAGATAGATCTAACATAATACAAAATACCGATAACGAGGTATGCCACGAAACAACTAAAGTGGCAAATTGTTTTAATTCCTACTACACATCTGTCGCATCAACAGTAGTAAGTAAACTACCAGCTGCATCAAATACCTTTAACACATTAACACAGACTCTGATAAGTTTAAAACATACTATACCAATTGTGAAAATTTGTGTGGACTGCCTCCAAGTGAGTCGCCTACCCTGGCAAACTCTGTTGACACCGAGTTCTGAGGTGGGTACCTCAGCCTCACAAGTGGCTTATAGAACAGATTTTCACAAATGATTGGTATTGCAAGAAACTTCGCCTGCATGCACGTATAAAGGACTAACTTACTTGGTGTTGCAGCATATATCCTGATCTTCAACTTCCTAAGCCTAGCTGTAGCCCCTTTGGACTTCCCCTTGGAAACCACGTGCAACCGGGATCATTAAATTCCTGCAATATTCAATCGTTATTAGTGTCCTGCCTGCATCTCAGAAATTCCTATATCCAAGAGGGTATGTATCCCCTAGTATAACTATGCAGACTCAGACACTAGCTTCAGACGGCTCTGAGACGCTGGTACTTACTGGGCATATTCTCTCTGTAGCACGCCGAGCCCTCAGTTAACTCAACCCGCAATCTCCTAAGTCACTGGCCAGAACCTACGGGAAAAGGTGAATATCTCGTCTTACTGTATGGGCTGATGGAGGAGATCATCTACGGTAGATCGAGGTGCCTCTACCAGATTTCCCCAGGTCTCAGATGTGAAGACACGTGGGGGCGCCGCCTGCTGTTCACGGCACGTCTTGTCCAGTCGGTGTCTATCGTAAGAAGGACGCTATTCTGTCTTTGTGACCTGCGCCCCGCCATTCAAGCTAGGGCTACCAGTTCTCCCTAGCTAACTTATCCTAGTGTTTGCCTACATTATCGGCCTATTACTACCTATGTTAAGGTCTTAGGTCTACTCTATCATTATCTACAGATGCCTTAGTAAACCTAATATTAGTGTACTACCAGTAAAACTACCTACTCCTTCCCTGAAGAGTAAATCTATAAATTAAATAAGCTTACCAACCGCCAACCAGAGAATGCCTTGTTTGGGAGGGTTTAAGGGCCGCTCGGCTCAGATGACCAGACGCCCATGCTGGATCTGAGCTGTGGAACTATTTGGACCAAATAAATTTCCACACCAATAAAGGGGTAACCCCAAACAGTTGTCAAGTAGTGTATCTCATGACTTCGTGCAAAAAGAACTAAGCAGGTTAAACCCAACTAAGAGCACTGGCCTATATAACATCCTGTCTAAGTTCCTAAAAGATGGTGCCTCTGAATTGCCAATCCCCATTGCTCACATAATAAATCTGTCCATAACCACTAATACCGTACCGGAGGAGTTCAAGGAGGCCAGAATTACTCCTATCTTCAAGAAATATAGTAGGTCTGATGTCAGCAGCTATAGGCCTGTTAGTATACTCAGTGTAATATCTAAAATTCTAGAGAGGGCGGTGTATTGTCAAGTTGTTAAGTACCTTAATGACAACGACATCCTTGACAGTTCCCAATCAACCGACACCTCCCTAATTAATCTGATGGATTACATGAGAACTGAAATGTCGATAAGGATCCTCATGGGAATGGTAACTTTAGACTTACAAAAGGCCTTCGATACTGTCAACCACAATATGTTATGTAAGAAACTTCAAGCTGTCCGCATAGGTTCTATAGGCTAGTTTAAGTCCTATCTTAGCAATAGGAAACAAATAGTCAAAATCAACAAAATAGAAACAGAACCCCTGCCGATAGCATGTGGAGTTCCCCAAGGTAGTATTCTGGGTCCCTTATTATTTCTGTATTATGTAAAGGACATGCCCATCAGTGTCAAGTTCAAACTCCTACTGTATGCAGATGACAGTGCTCTGTTAGTGTCAGGTAAAGACCCACAAGATATAGCTAATGTATTAACACTGGAACTGGAGTCCTGCAGCAAATGGTTAGTAGACAATAAACTATCACTACACCTCGAGAAAACGGAAGCCATACTCCTTGGCACGAAAAATAAACTGAGAAGGGTAAATAATTTGAATATCCAGTGTAATGGGGAGCCCATCACTTCACTTTCCTCAGTAAAATATCTGGGAATTCCCTTTAACCCATGCATGTCAGGAGAACTGATAGGGAACAGTGTAGTTTAGAAAGTATAATAATAAGATATTATCTCCTACATTGAATAATAATAAGATATTATTATACAATGTAGGAGATAATAAGATATTACCTCCTACACTGTATAATAATAGGGTATTAAAAGGACCCCAATGGAAATAAGTCACTTTGTCTGGCTTTTTTTGGATTATCCCAGGTTCTCTTCACATATACTGCTATGTATGATAATCTGTGTACTAACTGTATTTGTGTATACCTGAATAAACTTACTTACAACACTAGTCCTCAGTGCCTTAATGCACGCGACTGGAATAGTGCAGAGTGCGGCATAAGTCGGTAATTTAGTTAAATATTAGTGATGAAGATTTCAAGGAACTTGGAAGAGGCATTCATGTCAGCTTAGGGAAGCAAATATCAAAATTTCTTTGATAATATTTTTAGATTAGGACATATGCCTGTCCCAACTACTGGACCACTATGACAAAGTTCTGGATGCTCTAGAAGACAAACAAAACGCAGATGCAGTATACACAGACTTTGCAAAAGCCTTTGACAAGTGTGACCATAGTAATGCCCGTGTTACCCAGGGCAACAAGGGTTTAGAGCAGGTTTCTCCTTCCTGTCCCAGCTACTGAACCACTCTGACAAGGTCCTGGATGCTGTAGAGGATAAACAAAATACAGATGTAGTATACACAGACTTTGCAAAAGCTTTCGACAAGGGTAACCATGGTGTAATAGCACACAAAATACGGGATAAAGGAATAACGGGAAAAGATGGTAGATGCATCTACAACTTCCTGACAAATAGAACACAAAGAGTAATAGTAAACAGAGTAAAGTCCCAGGCAGCCATGGTAAAAAGCTCTGTTCCAAAAGGCACAGTACTCGCTCCCATTCTATTCCTCATCCTCATTTCTGACATAGACAGAGATGTAAGCCATAGCTCCGTGTCTTCCTTTGCGGATGACACCCTGATCACCATGGCAGTGACTTCCATCGAAGACACCGCGAGACTCCAAGCGGACATCAACCAAATCTTCGAATGGGCCACTCAAAACAATATGAAGTTCAACGAGGAGAAATTTCAACTACTCAGATATGGACAACTTGAAGAAATTAAAAATGTGTCAGGGTATACCATAAATTCTAACCATACAATAGAGCGGAAAAGTAATGTGTAGGACCTGGGAGTGATAATGTCAGAGGATCTCGCCTTCAAAGACCACAACAATGTATCTATCTCATCCGCTAGGAAAATGATAAGATGGATAATGAGAACCTTCAAAACTAGGGACGCCAAGCCCATGATGATTCTCTTCAAATCGCTTGTGCTCTCTAGGCTGGAATACTGCTGTACACGAACGACCCCCTTCAAGGCTGGCGACATTGCAGACCTGGAGAGTGTACAAAGAACTTTCACGGCACACAAGTGCGATAAGGCACCTAAACTACTGGGAACAGTTGAAGGTCCTTGATCTGTATTCCATCGAATGCAGGCGAGAGAGATACATGATAATATACACTTGGAAGGTCCTGGAGGGATTGGTACGAAACCTGCACACGAAAATCACTCCATATGGAAGCAAAAGACTCGGCAGGAGATGCAACATTTCCCCGATGAAAAGCAGGGGCGCCGCGAATACACTGAGAGACAACACAATAAGTGTCCAGGGCCCAAGACTGTTCAGTTACCTCCCAGCATACATAAGGGGGATTATCAATAGACCCCTGACTGTCTTCAAGAAGGCACTGGACAGGCACCTAAAGTCAGTACCTGACCAACCGGGATGTGCTTCGTACTTCAGCTTGGGTGCGGCCAGCAGTAACAGCCTGGTTGATCAGACCCTGATCCACCATGAGGCCTGGTCTCAGACCGGGCCGCTGGGGCGTTGACCTCCGAAACTCTCTTCAGGTAAACCCGCCCACATCCTGTTCCTCATCCTCATATCTGACATAGACAGGGATGTAAGCCACAGTTCCGTGTCTTCCTTTGCAGATGACACCCGACTTTGCATGACAGTGTCCTCCACTGAAGATGCTGCTCGACTCCAGGCGGACATCAACCAAATCTTCAAATGGGCCACTGAAAACAATATGAAGTTCAATGATGAGAAATTTCAATTACTCCGATATGGAAAATATGATGAAATTAAAACTATATCGGAGTATAAAACAAATTCCAACCACACAATAGAGCGAAAATCTAATGTACAGGACCTGGGAGTAATAATGTCAGAGGATCTCACTTCCAAGATCACAACATTGTATCAATCGCATCTGCTAGATAAATGACAGGGTGGATAATGAGAACCTTCAAAACTAGGGATGACAAGCCCATGGTGACACTCTTCAGGTCACTTGTTCTATCTAGGCTGGAATATTGCTGCACATTAACAGCACCTTTCAGGGCAGGTGAAATTGCTGACCTAGAAAATGTAGAGAGAACCTTCACGGCGCGCATAACGGAGATAAAACACCTCAGTTACTGGGAGCGCTTGAAGTTCCTCCCTGGAACA